CCCGCCCCCTCCACCCCCCATCCCCGGTGTTACGACAATCCAATGAGCCAAGGCCCTTCCCAGTCTCCCCTCTCTGGGCCTTTGGTCCATGCTGGCTGGCTGCAGAGTTTGGTGGGGGCCTCCTCGGGGCCCCAGAGGTCCCCTTCCCTCCCCCTGCTCTTACCAGGGCTCTAAGCTGCTGCTGCTGGGTCTGGCTGCTCCTGCTGCGCCTGTGCCCCGGGAGGGTCAGTTTCACATCTGAGTCAGTTGGGTCCCCAAACAGGCCTGCCCTGGACCAGGGGCCGGGGTGTCTGAGAGCTGGTGCCCTGTGGTGCCGGGTGAGGGTGCTGAGAGCTTGTCTGGAAAACATGGGCTGGTGATCCTAGATGTGTCAACCACCGGCCCAGGGAAGTAAAGTCACTTCCGGGCAGGGGAGAAGGGGCCCCCGAGTCTCTGGAAATCTCTGCTCAATTCTCAGAAGCTGCCTGCAGAGCTCCTGGGTTTCAGTGGGACTTTCTAGCCACAGCGGAAGGGAGGTTTAGTGAGCACCTACTGTGTGCTGGGCCCTCCGCCAGCTGCTTCTTTAGGTACCATGTCCTGTGACCCTCCCAGTCAGTGGCTCTGGGAGGGCGGTTCCAGCATCCGCATGTTTACAGATGACAGACCGAGATCCGGTCACGGATGTTTTATCTTTCGGCCCCTCACTCAGCTCAGACACAGGAGGAGGAGGCTCTGCGTTGGGAGCTTTGGTGAGGGGAGCCCTGGGGATTGTGGGTAGAGGTACCGGGCCCAGCCTGGGGAGGTCGGGGAGATGTCCACCAGGCCCGAAGCTGGGAGACAGGTGTGTGTGTTGGTGCTCAGAGCCTGCCAGGCAGCGGGAACAGCATGTGCGAAGGCTCAGAGGCAGGACTCCGGGTGAGCTTGGCCTGGGTGATGGGAGGGAGGCTGGGCTGGACCAGGCCTCCTGAGCTGATCTAAGGAGCCGCAGCTTTCCCTGAGGGCAGCGGGATGCCCTTTGGTCAGAAGTACGCTTTAGGACTTTTTTCCCTTTTCTTAAAAATATATTTTTATTGATTCCAGAGAGGAAGGGAGAGGGAGAAAGATAGAAACATCAATGATGAGAGAGAATCATTGATTGGCTGCCTCCTGCACGCCCCCTACTGGGGATTGAGCCCGCAACCCAGGCCTGTGCCCGGACCGGAATTGAACCTTGACCTCCTGGTTCATTGGTTGATGCTCAGCCCTTTTGCCACTCCGGCCGGCCGGGCTGTTTTAGGGCTTTTGTTCTGGAGGCTGGTGTGGCGCTGGCCTTCACGAGGCAGCAGGGGGAGGCCCGACCGGTGTGGGGCCTCGGAGAGCTCTTTCCTCATGTGGGCTGTCCAGACAGTCGGCGCCTAATAGCGGCTTCGCTCGGTGCCTTCGTTCCTCTTCGAGGGCCCTGGCCTGCCCGGGCCCATGGCACCCGAGGGCCAACCTGTGACAGGGCTTTGGAGAAGCGAGCCCTCAAGAGCAGAGGGAGTGCCCAGCCCTTCCTGGCGGGCTGTCCAGGCCTGTGTGGAGAGGCCAGCGCAGGGTTCACTTTACCCCCTGCCACCCAGGGAGGAGGCGGCGCACAGAGAGGTTAGGTGACTGGCCCCGCGTCCCCCAGTGGAGCAGCACCATCTGATACCCAATCTGAGCCCTGCTTCTCCTGATCGTGACGGCTGGGCTCCCCTCTGTGGGGGGCACCGAGGCTGAGGCGCTCAGTGAGGCTCCCCTGCCCCGGGCCCTCGCCGCGCCCTGCCCTCTGCCTCCGCTCGCCTTCCCCGGTCTGCGCCTGCCTGGCTCCCTCTCGGCCTTCGCTTTTGCGGTGGCATCACCTTCAGACAGGCCTTTCCCCGTCACTGTCACCCCCTCACCCTCTTCCTCCTCTTCTGGGTACAGCTTCTCACCTGAAAATAGCTTTTGTATTTTCTCATGTGGTTACTTCGTTGCCCCTCCCTCCACCCCTCCTCTTGCAAGAGGACAGTGACTTCCTTGCTTTTTACTGCTCTTTCTGCCGCCAGGAACGGGGGCCACACGAGGGCATGTGCCCATCAGCTCACCCCACCCCCCTCTCCAGTTCCACTTCCCGCCCACCCCTGGCTCCGAGGAGGCACGGTGGTCCAGCCGGGACCTGTGACTTGCTCAGGGTCGCTCTGCTGGACAGAGCAGGCTCCTCCTCCGCCCCTGTCTGCTGGACAGAGCAGGCTCCTCCTCCGCCCCTGTCTGCTGGACAGAGCAGGCTCCTCCTCCGCCCCTGTCTGCTGGACCAGGTGGAGTGCCTCCGGAAAGCTGTTTGTGGGAATCGCTGCTCCCGCTCCGCCGTGGGCCGCGTTCTCGGCTCGGTGGCTGACGCTGCTGCAGCTCCATCAATATTAAATGGGCATTAAAAGGAGGCTCCGCGCTCCCCGTTCCCTGATTTCTCCGAGCAGGGCCGGTGGCGAACCCCCTTTATGTGACACGCAGCGTTTCACTGCGGAGCGCCTCCCGGGACGCGTGCGCTGCCTTTTCTGGCTGAGTCCCTGGTGCAGGGCCGTCTCCCCGCTGAGGACGATGCAGGGCAGGCGGGCGCCTGCTTCCGGGCCCGGGTGGGTGCGGGCCCCTGGGGGCCCCTTTCCTAAGGGCTGTGCCCACCTGGCCAGCCTCCTTGCGGATTCCTGGGGTGGGAAAGGGGAGAGGGCGATGGCTCTTCAACCTTTAGCTGAGCCCTCTTGGCACCCACCCTCTGCCAGGCTGTGCCGGCACCAGGGAGGGAGACTGGCAAGACACTCTGTCCGTCTATCCCTCCCTCCCTCCCCCCTCCCCCCTCCCTGCATATGAAGTCTCTGTGGGAGGCCCTGGGTGGTGGTGACGATGCAAGCACGGTAACAGCTAACGTTTATTGGGCACTTACTGTGTGCTGGGCTCTGTGATGAGCAGTTTACACCCGTCGCCTCATTTAATCTCCCAACCCTGTGCGGTCGGTCCGAACAGCCTCTCCATGTCCTCGCCGAGGAAGCAGAGCCTCAGGGTCTGCGAGTCGGGGCCCCTCAGAGGAGCCGTGGCGAGGACGCAGGGCAGGGGCATGGGGAGCAGGCCTTTGAGAAGGTTGGGTACCGGGGGCTCCCGGAGCTGCCGCCTGTGCTCACACCGGACACCCCTGAGCCGCAGATGCCCCGCGCCCGGGCTGCCCTGCTCCCAGCCGGCCTCCCGCACACACGTATCCAGTGGAACCGAATGGTGATTATAATGTGACAGCAAATGGTAGCCGGGCACTGGGGACCCGCCAGGCATGGTGCCAGGATTCCCATTCACGGAGCCTGCACAGCTGCCCTGGAAGGTGAGGGTCTTATTTCCAAACCCATTCTCCAGAACTGGAAGCCGAGGAAGCTCAGAGAGGGCAGGAAGTTGGCCTAAGGTCACACAGCAAATCAGCACGACGCTGGGGTTCAGATCCCCACACAGATCTGGGCCCTGGGAGCCCTGGACCTCGGCTTCTGCTGCCTGAGGCTTCTCCCCAGTTTCCAGATAGGGAGGCAGGGCCGGCTCCCACAGAGGTTTTGTGAGTCTGGGGCCAGGACATCCGACGCCCCCACTCGGAGGCCTGCCCCGCCATGTCCACTGGGGGAGCCGATTCACTTAGACGCAGTGTGTCGGGTGGAGGGGGGGCTGGAGGAGAAGCAGATTTTTTTTCTTGGAGGAAAGGGGACTGAGTTGTGACTCAGGATGTGCTCTGTGTGTGTGAGTGGGGGTTGGAAAGAGGATACAGCTATTGTTGCACCTTGTATGGGCATGATCTTCGAGATTTCCTTTTAAAATTAATAATCCATTTCTCCTTTGCACATAATTAAAATGTTCTCCAGTCCCTAATTTTTGTCATTTTCCTAATCTAATTTGTTTTCTGACTGTGTCGATTCTTCTTCCATGCGCAAAGCAGAGGGGATTTTTCTTTGTTTGACGTGACTGGGATGTGACCCACCAGGAGAGTTTAAATGACGCAGTTTTCTCCTTGGTTAAGTGCGGTGCGAACGGAATGATCGCAGGGCCTTCATGACCAAACACGGAGACAAAACAAAACAACGTTCAAGGCGTTTCTTATTTACACGGGTTCAAAAAATAACGATGGAGCCGACGGCAGTGGATGGGGCGCCGGAGCGGATGGCCGCGGTGAGGAGGCCTGGCGCCCTGGCCGGGGGCGGTGGACCTCACACGGCGGACGTGCATTCAGTCCGGTATCTACAAATGCAAACCCCACTTTCCAATGAAAGAAATCAAAAAAATATATGGACGGCGTCAGGAGCCGTGATTCTAAGTGGATTTCAGGGTTGACAATCCCCGAGATGCTTAAGGCGTCGGGGCGGGTTCTCGTGAAGGTAGATTCCCGCTCCCCTCCCTCCCTCCGCGGCCACGGAGCCGGAGCCGGAGCCGGCCGAGCTGGTGGATGGCTGTCTGCCCGGGAAACTCCCTCCGCGCACAGCTCTTTAGGCAAAATGGATGCGGAGGAGGAATGCGCGCCTGTGCGTCCACCTGCCGGGGCTTGCAGGGTGGGTGTGGGCCGAGGGGAGTGGGTGCGTTCGGGGGTCTGAGGGAGGGGCTGGGGCGGGAGGGGAGCCTCGCTGCTCCCCAGGCTGGAAAAGTGGAACTCACTTTACCTGTTTGCGGAACACCAGCCAGGACCCTGCCCATCGCGGGTCCCTCAGCCGGTGGGCCCGGGGATTTTGTCAAAGGCAAGAAAAAGCCTTAAGTATTTAAACATGTTGGACCATGCACGCAGCCATCCCCCGCCTTGCGGTTTTTTTTTTTTTTTTTTTTGTCCCCTCCCTCCTTTTCCTTTTCTTTTTACCAAAGTATATTCATCAAACTGCTGAGTTGGAAAGATTTGTAATGAGTTTTTGAGCTGTACGACTGTGTTTTCCCCCCTCTCCCCCCGCCCTCTCCCTCTTTCTAAATCTTCATCTGACATTAAATAAAGCAAATCCCAAACAGATTAACTGTCGCAGGGTTCTGCTCCGTCTCCTCAGTCTGTTCCCAGGTCCGGCGCGGGACCCGGCGGCGGCGGCGGCGGCGGGAGATGCCCGGGCGGCCGGCCGAGGCCCATGTGGCGCGCTAGGTGGGACCCCGGCGTCCTGAAGGCCGAGGCCCTGGCCCTGCTGCCCCGCGGCCTGGGCATGGCGTTCTCCCAGGCCCACGTGATGGCCCCGCGCCGGCACCAGCACGGGCGGCTCGTCGTCGAGGTGGACGAGTACAGCTCCAACCCCACGCAGGCCTTCACCTTCTACAACATCAACCAGGGCCGCTTCCAGCCTCCGCACGTGCAGATGTGAGTGGGCGGCTCGGCGCGGCGCGGGGGGAGGGTGGGGGCGGGGGGCGCGGGGTGGGGGGAGGGGGGAGGGTGCGGGGGGGCCCTGGCGGCCGGGTGGGCTCAGCCCTGGCGCCTCCTGGCTGCGGGGCCGGCCTTCCCTGGCGTGTTGAGTGCACCGGTGCGGGGGTGCCAGGATCCCCGCCGCTGGAGTCGGGAGGGGGGAGTGAAGTTGCGGAGTGATGGCCTGTGGGCTGGTTCTGGCCTGGAGGCCTGTTTCATTTGGACTGGAGAATGTTTTACAAATATTTAAAAAAAAATGAGGTGATTGCGTATAAAAGTCCAGACTTCTGGCTTGGCTCTGCAAACCCCAAAGCCTGGCAACCCCGGGCCCACAGGTCCTCGTGGCAGCCTTGGAGGGGGGGCGGGGGTGGTGGTGGTGGGGAGTGGGGGGGGATGAAGTCCAGCTTCCCCTTCTTGGCATTTGGGTTAAAGACCCCTCCCCCCGGCCCGGTCTAAGTCATACTCCTCATTGTCCAGATGGGGAGACCGAGGCCCGAGGCGGGAAGGGACTTCCCAGAGGCACCAGGGCAGGGAGAGACCAAACCCTGGTCTTGGGCTGGCTGCCTCCCTCCTCCTCCCGCCCGGCCCCCAAGCTTCCCTGGAGAAAGCAGGGATGTTTCCAGGCGCCTGGAGACCCTGTGGGCGTGTGTGGGTGTAGGTGCCGGCACAGGGCGGTCAGAGCTGTGATGGGGCACGGTGCCCGAGCAGGCCGTCCTGACCAGGCCCCACTCCCGCTGCGGCCACAAGCACCACCTCCTGGGGGGGGGGGGGGCTAGAGGCTGTCCCTTCGGGGAGACCCGAGAATCCAGCATGCGGGCCTCTTAGAGAAGAGGTGGGGGTTCCGAAGCCCGGCTTGGAGGTGGGGAGGGAGGGGTGCTGCCCCGTTACCGTGTGGCCCCCTCAGGGCCTGTCCTCCGTTGTGAAGGGTGGGCACTGAGGTGGTATGCCCAGGAGAAGGCGGGGGGCGGGGGGACTCTAGGCCGGAGGGGGGTGGGGTGGGGTGTTTCCAGCACTGGCACGCGCTCTGGAAAATGGCCGTTTCTCTGGGGGCTGGGGGCTGGCGTGGTCAGTCGCTGCCTGCTTTAGTTTTTGGTAGATTTCTACTTGGGAAACTGCCTCCAGCTTCCATTTCAGGGCCAGATTGGCAGGTCTGGGAAGGATGGGTGGCCCTGGGTCTCAGGCACACTGTTCCCTGGGAGCTTGAAGCCGGGCAGAGAGGGCGGCCTTCCTGGACCCGCCTTTCCCAGGGTCCCTGGGTGCCTACAGACTCGTGCCTCCGTGGGAAGGGGCTGGATCGCTGGGCCCTCAGGCAGGGAGCTGGGGTATGCGTGTGCTTGTGGCCGTGTGCATGCCCATAGGGGGTCCCCCGGCACTGCCCATAATGCCCGATGCCATGCAGTACCAGGCAGAGCTGTCATTTATAGCACCTTTGCCTGGGCCCGCGGGCACCAGGCAGCCTCCGGTCCCAGCTCAGAGCGAGGGAAACAGGAAGTCTTGGAGGGGAGGCCCAGGGGCTGGGGCAGGACCCTGTGGGGAGGGTGGCTTCTAGGTTGAGACGCAGAAGAGGATGCGAGGGGGGCAGCGAGCTGGCGAGGCTGGAGCGAGGGGCACCTGGGAAGTGCAGAAATGCCCCGCTGGGTGGAGGGTGCCCGCAGGCCCGGCTGTGTCCTGAGCAAGGACGCGAGTGATTTCTCCCATTTAGCCCATGAGCAGCTGCGGTTGTTCGTTCGTTCGCCCATTCATTCATTCATTCATTCATTCGGGATGTGCGGGAGCAGCTGCTCAGCACGCTGGCTAGAGACGCGCTCTGAGCTGGCCCGCCGGGTTGGAGTCCTGGCTCTGCCACTTACTTCTAAACCCCTGCCCGTGCTGAGCTGACCCCTGAACGGGTGGCAGACGGCACACACGCCATAAGGGGTGTAAGGGCATAAGGTACTGGCAGCGGGAAGTGCTGCGGAGAGATGCTTATGGCTTCCTAGGCGAGTGACCGCTAGATTCACTGGGGCCTGCCCCACCCCCATCCCTCCTGGGCGCTCTGTGCTGCCACCTCCGTGGCCAGGCTCCGGGCTTCCATGGGCAGTGGGTTCAGAGGTGGCTGGGGTTTGGGCACTGAGTCTGGTTCTGGACTCCTCTTCCAGTGCTCCCTCGCTGCCCGCTTGGGCCAGCCAGGTTCTGAAACACAACTTTGCACAAAGCTAGATGAGGCCGGGGCCATGCAAGGACGAGAGGGTTGCTCCCTCCTACCCCCTCTCCCCCTCAGATCCCAGCCCCGAGCGCCAGGGGAGTGTGCGGGCTGCCGGAGGGCTGTGCGGGTTTCCATGGTGAGTCTCCACAGAGGGAGACGCGGGAGATGGATGCCACGCCCCCACACGTGATGTATCACCGCCCTGGGCTTTGTCTGCGGGCCCAGGGAGTGAGGGGCCTTATTTAATAAATCCACAATTTATATTTAATAACAACAGTGACAGCCAAACACGGTCTCCGATTGAGCCGTGTGATTTATGCCGTTGCCCCCAGAGGCCCTGGTCGTAACGAGGCTGCCTTAGCCTGAGTCATGAATCTCTGGATCCAGGCCTCTGAGTTTCAGCCCCTGAGAACGCGGACCCTCACTCCGGGGGCCGAGAAACCCCGCGGTGGCCTGGGAGAGCCCCTGCAGGCCCCAGCCCTTCTGTGCCGGGCGGGCAAGCGGGCGTGGGGCTGGTGGTCGGGGAGAAGGCAGGGGTGGTGCTGGAGGGACAGGGTTATCCTGGGGGGCCGCCTTACAGGTGCCCTGGGGCTGGCGCCCGACACAGCACCCCCTGTTGGTGGAGCCCCTCCGAGCACGCACGTGGGGCTGTGCGGGGTCCTTGAAGAGCGTAGCGGGCCGGGGGAGCCCCTTAGCGTCCCGGCCCTCCCAGCTGAGCCAGAACAAAACCATTTCTGTTTTTGTTGTCACAGGAAGGTGTTGAGGTTAGATCCAGCTTCCTGTGGTGAAGACGCAGGCTCAGACCTACCCTTTCACTTACTCGCTGTGGCCTGGGACATGGGACTCACTTCCCGGCCTCGGCCACTTAGGGCCGCTGTGACTCAGATGTTCACGGGGGTTTTGCCATTACGAGTGTCGGAAGCCCAACTCAGACGGTCCTAAGGACAAAAGGGAGTTTGCCGGCTCATAGCTAAGACCCGGCTTCAGGCACAGCTGGGCCCAGGCAGCAGATGGTGCCGTCAGGCCCTCCCAGCCCTCTCCTCTGCTCTCTCTCTCTCTCTCTCTCTCTCTCCTGTTCTCCACACCTGGACTGTTCTTGTTCTTGTCCTCGCTTCCAAAAACAAGCTAGGCTTCTGGGAGCTCCATGCAGAGGTCTCCATGGGTGTCCCCGCCACAGGTATATCCCCTGAGCCTAGCAGGTGCCTGTCCTTTAAAAGACACAAATAAGCATTTGTCCAGGCCTGGCTGGTTGGCTCAGGGGTTAGAGCGTCGGCCTGCACACCTGAGGGTCTTGGGTTCGCTTTCCGGTCAAGGGCATGTACCTGGGTTGCAAGTTCAATCCCCGTCCCCAGTCAGGGCACCTGTGGGAGGCAACCAATCAGTGTGTCTCTCTCACATCAATGTGTTTCTCTCTCTCCTCTCTCTCCCCCTCCCCCCTCACTTCCACTCTCTAAAAAAAAAAGAAAAAATCAATGGAAAAAATATCTTCACTCCTCCGTTGAGGATTAAAAAAGAAAGCATTTCTCCATAGATTGGCGGAATGAAATGAATGAGGACCTTGCAATAGGACTAGGCTGGCCTGGTGTGAGTTTGGGAACCAAAGACCAGCTTCAAAGTTTCAGCGCGGCTGGCTCCCACAGCTGGGGTCCTAGGCAGCCTTTCCGGGGCCTCAGTTTCCGCATCGGTACAATGAGCGCACCTGCAGCACCTGCCCTGCCGGCCCTGTGCAGGTGCCCGTGAAGGCGGGAGAGCGCCCCGCCCAGCGGGAATGAGCGCTCAGTTCCTGGGAACCCTCCGGACCATTCCCTGTTAGGAGGTTGAGCGTTTGTTATCCCCCAAATAGCCCGAGGACAGTGCCGGGAAGTGAAGAGTCTTTATGTTTAATCTGGGGATGAGTAGGCTTGCACCCTCACTGAGCTCAGAAGCCTCGGGGTGGAGAGAAGTGAGAATGGAGCTAATTAAAGAGCCTGTGAGTTTGGGAACCAAAAGCCAGCTTCAGAATTTCAGCGTGGCCGGCTCCCACAGCTGAGAACCGGGCAAGGATCGGGCTGCTCACCGGAGGCCCTCGCGCTGTTGGGGGCTGGCTGATGCCTCGCCAGGGGCCCCCCGGCGCGGAGATTGTGGGGGTGGAGGTGGCGTCTTGCTCCCTCTCTCTCCCTTCCTTGTCCCTGTGTCTCTCTGACTTGGCCTGCCTCCACCTCAGGGTGTGCGGGTGAGTGAGTGGGTGAGTGGGCTTGATTGGATCACTCACGGGCCTGTGCCAGGCCCGTAGCCCAGACGCGATCGGCTGCCCTTGGTTCAGTCAGCCGCGAGGGGCAGACAGGTGTACAGGTGGGTTCAGGGCCAGGCACCTGCAGAGCCTCCTCATCAGGTGGGAGGGAGGGGCCCAGAGGAAGGGGAGTGGCGGGAATTACTGAGAGGGAGAGTTGAGCTTCCAGACCAGCTCAGGTACCTGCTCTTTCCCTGCCCCCCCCGCTCCCCCCACCCCCCCCGCTGCTGCCCCATGAAAGCTGTGGCTTTATTGTCTGGCCACGTGTGGGGTCTCCTGGCTGGGGTTGGGCCTGGTGCATCCCTGTGGCCCCAGCGCTGAGCTCAGGGGCTGGCCCCCAGGAGTGGGCAGAAGGTGCGTGCTGAATGACCAGGGAATGAGTGAGTGAGTGAATGAATGAATGAATGAAGAGGGAAGAGGAGGAGCTCCCAGCACCCCCTGTTGGTCACCACTGGACTCGGGGAGCTTTCCTCCGCTCCGGGTTGGGCCCGGCGCCGACCTGCTGGGATTCTCACTGGGCCCGGCAGCGCCAGGGAAGGCCCTCCCGGCGGGAGCCGGGGGCTCCGGGATGGGGCGCGCTGGGCTGGCCTGGCGCCTGGGGCTGTGCGGACTGAGCGTGCACACGCGCCCTGCACATTAGCATGCCGAACCCACGTCTCCCGTAAGGTGTTAATTAAATTTCTTTGAAGTATATTGTCTGAAAAAAAAGGATAATTAGAAAGATGTCTTTAAAAGTATTTATGTAACTGATACGGCCCTGCTTTCGGCGTGCCGCATAATTAGATTTAAACACAGCGAACTCCTCGAGCAGCACCCTCATTTGGAGAGAGCTGCGTGGAAATGTCATTGCGTTGTTTTTAAGAGTTGGGAGCCTGGCAGAGTCATTCAGCTGAGAGGCGGGGGTGAGGGGGGGCACTGAGCGGGGGAGGGGGTGGGTCTGCACTGCTCCCTGGGACCAGCCACCTGCTCCGTGTGCGTCCTCACTGCCACGGGCTCCGGGGACCGGGACCTACGTCCCTGCAGCGTTTTCATTTTCTGGGTGTCTTTGCTTCGTGAGGCCGCTCCATTTTACAGACAAGCCAGCCAGGGCCAGGTGTTTTTTTGTAAATATGTTTTTATCGATTTCAGAGAAGAAGGGAGAGAGAGAGATAGGAACATCAATGATGAGAGAGAATCATGGATCGGCTGCCTCCTGCACGCCCCACCCTGGGGATCGAGCCCGCAACCTGGGCAGGTGCCCTGACCGGGAATCGAACTGTGACCTCCAGGTTCATGGGGCAGGGCCGAGTGTTTTGCTTAAGGCCACACCTTAGTGGCAAGTGCCAAGCTGGGTTTGAAGCCTTTTCTTCTGGTTCTGGGGCTGCATTCTCCCCCCCGCCCCCCCCCCCCCCCCCCGCCCGCCAAAGCCTGTGCTCTCGGGGATCAGACGTTCTCAGTTCCGAAACACTGCTGCTCTCTCCGTGCTTCTGTTCCACGTGCTCCTGGGAGCCCCCCATTTCACGGCGGCTCTCCTGGGGTGTGCGCTGCCCTGGGACCCACTTCTTCCCGCCGGACCATGGACGTCAGTCCTTGTATTCTCGCTGGGGCCCATAGCACCCCCACAGAAGCCCGTGTTGTGGGGTGAGAAACCTTGCCCTCATGATTATAAAGCACAGATACCCATTCGGTACCGTGACCCCGTGACCCCGTGACGTGTGTCTCCCTCCCGCAGGGTGGACCCTGTGCCTCACGATGCCCCCAAGCCGCCCGGCTACACCCGCTTCGTCTGCGTGTCCGACACCCACTCCAGGACAGACCCCATCCAGATGCCGTACGGCGACGTGCTCATCCACGCCGGCGACTTCACGGAGCTGGGCCTCCCGAGCGAGGTGAAGAAGTTCAACGAGTGGCTTGGTAGGTGCTGGGCCGGGGGTGGGCTTCTGCCAACGTCCGGGCTGGGGTGGCCCCTGTGCCCAGCTGTCCTCCTCCCGGCTCTGCCCACTGCCCCTGCCCGGCCTCTGTCTGCCTGTCCGCCCCTCCCTCCCCCCCACTCACCCCAGGAAGCCTTCCCTGACTCCGACCAGGCCCCGGACCTCGGCATCTCCTGCCCCAGCCCTTGTCTTAGCTGTGACTTTCCATTTGTCTGCGGGCATTTTGGGCCCAGGTGTGTTCTTGCCCACGTGTGTGTCCAGCCCCCGTGCCCGGCACAGGTCGGTGCTAAGCAGATAATGGCTGAGTGAGTGAGTGAAGGAATGAGTGGCCGGACGGGCGAACGGATGGGTGACTGTGGGAATGCTGACGCCAGGCAGGTGCTCGGCTGGTGCGTAGTGGCTCAGCCACCGACCACCGTCAGGATGGCTCCCCAGTGAGGGGACCCTCTGGGCCTCTGTGCCCACAGCCGGGACCTAGGGGACCAGGCCTGGGCGCCTCCCCAGGGCAGCTGTTGGCACAGGCAGCGAGCGCCGGCCCGCGGCGGGCCGTGATGTGCAAGCGCGCCCCCAGGGCCTTCTCTTTGGCTTTTTACTTTCTTCCTAAATTAGAGAGACACACACTGGGGTGCCCCCTGGGAAAGCTGTTTGCTCAGAATCGAGTTGTCGCTGCCACAGCCTGGGGGTGGGGGGACAGCTGGATTGCATTGGATGGCCCTGGACTGGCTGCCATCTCAGAGGCCTGGGTGCGGCCCCCCTCCCCCCCCCGCGCAGCCCACCCCCCTGCCAGACAGGCGCCTCCCCAGGGTGCCTGCTGCGCAGTTGGCTGGGAGCTGCGTGAGCAGAGGGACCGGGAGCAAGACGGTTGCTGCACACGCGGAGGCCTGGCTTTGCAGCCGAGACAAATGTTTACAAACAAGGCCTTCCCTCCGCTTGGCAGGCGCAGAGCCTTACATGTTGGTGCTCAAATGGGAAATGCTAACCGAGGGCCCCTTTCGGGCTGGACCCCGTGAGGCTGGGGCGGGACAGGGCTCCACAGGGCGGGCCTGCCCCGCTTCCCGCCTCGCCTGGTGCCGCCTGGGGTCGGGCCGCCTCTGGGAGGGCCCCTCTCTGAGCCCCGCTTCTTATCCTCAAAAGATGGGAGGCCTCCTGAGCTGACCAAGAGCCGAGTCCAAGGCCGCTGCCAGGAGCCGCTGCGGGCCAGGCTCCTGCTGTGCGCCAGGCGCAGCGGGCAGCTCCTTCCGCCGCTGCTGCCGGGTGGATCGTGGGACCGGCTGTTCGGGGCGGGTGCTCTGGGGATCTGAATTGGACGGAGGGCCGCCAGCCCCCTGCGCCGAGGTACTTGAGGGTGGGGACGGTTTCTGGTGCACCCGGCCCACGACCCGCCCCTCGGCGCGGGGGGATGAGTGAGTCGACGCTGGCGTGCGCGGTGGGGTGGGCGCCATGTGCTTGGGGTCTCGGTGCCAGACTGAACGCTTTCTCCTGGCAGGCCAAGTCCTCTGGGGGAAGCTGACTTGGGGCTGGGCCTAGCCCCGTGGTCGGCAAACTGCGGCTCCCGAGCCACATGCGGCTCTTTGGCCCCTTGAGCATGGCTCTTCCTAAGCCTTAGGAGCACCCTAATTAAGTTAATAACAATGTACCTACCTATATAGTTTAAGTTTAAAAAATTTGGCTCTCAAAAGAAATTTCAATCGTTGTCCTGTTGATATTTGGCTCTGTTGACTAATGAGTTTGCCGACCACTGGTCTAGACCGAGGGGCTGGGAGTTGTGCAGAAAGGGTGACACCAGGCCAGGGGACCGCTGAGGCCAACGTGCCAGTGGACGCTCGAGAGGAGGCGTGGTGTGTTGGCCAGAGTCAGGGCAGGGCCTGACCAGGGTCCTGGGGCCGGCACAGTGCGCTGGGCACGTGAGGACAAGCCCTCCACCTGCCCCTTAACGGAGGTCAGAAGTGTCCGCAGGAACTCGGGGGCCTGCTTCCTCGTGTGCCCTCGGCGTTGGGCTGATTTGTTTGCCTGAGCCATTGGGGCAGGAGGTTCCCTTCCCCGGCCTCACCCCTTGCTGCCTCCGTGGTGATGGCAGATGTCGGAGCTGTCACTCGGGGGGGTGTGGCTGGGAGCTCACAACGGAGGCCCAGGAGCCTCTCTCTGTCCTGCGTGGAGCGGCGAGGGTTTGCGTGTGAGGGAGAGCTTTGCTGGGGGGCTGTCTAGGGGAGTCCGTCTGCAGGAGGCGGGGCAGCGTGAGGGCTAGGACCCCTGCCTGGGAGTCAAGCAGACTGCCTTCACCCCTGCTTTGGCCTCTCCTTTCCTTGGCGTAGTCACTCAGCCTCTCTGTGCCTCACTATAAACGGGGAGAATTGTTTACCGGCCCCATAGGGTTGCGGAGGCTTGAAGAATAACATTCTCGTGTAGCGCTAGGCACAAAGAGAAGCCTCAGAAAGTGGGGGCTGTTCCTGTGGAAAACCTGCCTCTCTCATATCCGAGCCCCCCCCCCCCCCCCCCGCAGCAAACACCCATCAGCCAGCCTCAGTGTCAGCAGAGCCGTTTCATTCCAGCCACTCTGTTCGGCTCCACTGATCATTCCTAGAACAGGCCCCCACTCCGGGCCTGCTGGCCCCCGCTGGGACCGCCCTTCCTCCTCCACCGGCAGGCAGTCCTACCACCCCTCAGTGCCACCTGCCCCCCAGTGCCACCTGCCCCCCAGTGTCACCTGTCCCCTCAGTGTCACCTGTCCCCTCAGTGTCACCTGTCCCCCAGTGTCACCTGTCCCCTCAGTGTCACCTGTCCCCTCAGTGTCACCTGTCCCCCAGTGTCACCTGTCCCCTCAGTGCCACCTGCCCCTTCAGTGTCACCTGCCCCCTCAGTGTCACCTGTCCCCTCAGTGTCACCTGTCCCCTCAGTGTCACCTGCCCCTTCAGTGTCACCTGCCCCCTCAGTGTCACCTGTCCCCTCAGTGTCACCTGCCCCTTCAGTGTCACCTGCCCCCTCAGTGTCACCTGTCCCCTCAGTGTCACCTGTCCCCTCAGTGTCACCTGCCCCCTCAGTGTCACCTGTCCCCTCAGTGTCACCTGCCTCAGAGCCCCCTCCCGATGGGCAGCATTGGTCCCTCCTCCCTCTGTACCCAGAGCTCCCTGTTCAGGCCTTGGTGGTGGCCCTCACCTCATGGCAGGGAATTATCTGTGTTCTTGTGTCCCCCTGCCCCCCACCCCTAGACCATTAGCGCCTGGAGGGTGGGGTCAGGCCCCATCTCCAGCGCCAGATGAGGCCCCGCCAGGACAGGCCTGGGCAGGACCTGTGGACAGGAGTGACGGGCGCGGATGCATCCCCGGAAGGTGGGGCGCGCCTGGGGCAGCAGCATCGGGGGGCTTTGAGGAGGCAGAGCCGTGAGCAGGCAAGTGTGAGCCGTGGCTCTCGTAACATGGCACTTGGGGTCTGAGAAGACTCGGGCGGAGGCTGCGTTGCGTCCCCAGGACGAGGCTCGGAGCTGAGGCCAGCAGGTGAGCTAGACCGGCCCAGGGGGCAGGTCGTCCAGGTGGGTGTGAGGGCTCCCCTGGAAGCCAGGGTGCTGAGGGCAGGTGAGTGGCTGAGTGCCAGCCACACCAGCTTCCAGGCTGTGGGCTGCAGAGGTAGCGGCTGACCTGAGGCCCCCCAGCACCCACATCGTCCCCAAGGCAAGAACATCGCCTGCGTCTGCCCGGCCTCTGGGGACAGCCATGCCCTCAAGGACTGTCAGTTCAGGAGCTGGGATTCGCAAGATGTCAGAAAGCTCCCTGTGACTGGCAGGTGCCGGACTGGCCTCCTTTCCCCCCATCCTTTCCCTCCCCCCCCCAGCCACGTAAAGCCTGCACCTCTGCACTCTCCCTCCCGTCCCCCAGCGCCCAGAGCCTCACCCCTGCCTTGGAGTGACCAGCCGCCCAGAGGCCATCGGTGGGCTTGTTCTCAGCCCTTCTCTCCTGGCCTCTCCACTTCACCTCCAACGTGGGTTCTTCTTCCGCTTCCACACCATCTGCCCCTCTGGGCTTCCCCTTCTCCATCTCATTTGGTTCCTCTGTCTCTTGTTCACTGCAGGTGGCCTCTCCCAGGGCCAACCTTGAGCATCTCAACCACCTTCTTTCCAGGTGATAATCACTCAGACCTCTCCCCATCCCCAGCTCTTGCTTCCACCCAGACCTCCCTCTCTCTCCCAGCCTAGATCTTTCTTTGAGATTCTGCCGGTGCATTGTTTGGTCTTTGCAGAAGACACCTCCTCCAGGCTGTCCACCAGGATTTCAGACTCCCTCTGTCCCAAACTGAACTCAACCACAGACCCATCCCCATATAGCACTATAGGCTATATAGTGAGGTGCAGCCCTCCAGTGCGGTGTTTGAGACCCTCCCCACCAGGGCTGCTGTGCCCCCTCTCCTCCCCGCTGAGGCTGCTGTCAGCTGCCATCTCTTATTCTTCTGACCCCACTCTTATCTGCCCACTCACTTATATCACCTGCCAAGCTTCTGTGGGCACCCAAGCAGGCCAGCCTGCCAGGCCCGCCTTCCTCCTGCAGGATCCCGTGAGCTCCTCGGGGGCCAGGCAGGTCCCAGAGCCCAGCCCGGCCTGGCGCTGGCGGAGGGTGCTCGGCAGGTGTGCGGGCAACAGCACAGAGAGGCCTCAGAGCCCAGGCTGAGACAGTTCATTAGGTGGCATCGCCCTCAGCAGACCCAGGAGGGGAGGACGGCGAGGCCCAGCAATGGAGTGCTTAGAAGTTATAATTAACTTTTTACTGGCGCCCTAGTATGAAGCGATATGTGAAGACAATATAAAAGGGTCCAAGGATTTAGATAAATAGAGCTGGGTCTTTTGCAAGCAAACCCTTAATTAAAGCCAGGGAGGGAGGAGAGGAGGGGAAGGGAGGCGGAGAACCCTTCCAGGCACTGCCTTTGGTTGTGGTCTCATTCGCCTCCGTGTTGAGGGCAGGGCTCGGGGCAGGGGGTCGGCTGCGGAACGGGCTGACC